AAAGAACACGAGAACAATTTGTTAAAAAAATGTAGTTTTATTTAGCAATGTCACACTATAGTCATAAAACTGAAAACAATGTCTAGTACTGTAAACAAGTATGTCAGTGTACAATATCTACTCATTTACTAAACTTTGTATACATACTCACACTAGCTATATTTTGCCCCACTGGAAAGGCACTGCACCAATTTCTGAAATAAAGTACTGGCATAGTTCGATCCTGTTCGCTTGGCTCATGTTGTTGTATTGGTGGTGTTTGGCAGGGGGGCCTGCAGTAAGTCTGGGTCTTGTCTCCATCTTCCTGGAACAGTGTCATGATCTGGCCCTTCCTGGTCGATTCCTAACATGTATAGCGCATTCTGTCTGCAGAAAGTTGTGCAGAGCACAGCAAGCTAAAACAATGTCCTCCACTTTGGCAGTATCTTGAATGTTAATGGTGGTTAGAAAGACTCTAAAACGATTTGCCAGGATGCCAAAAGCATTTTCTACCACCCTCCAAGCTCGTGAAAGTCTGTAATTGAAGATGCGTTGCTGAACTGATAGTCTGCGGTTTGGATATGGCTTCATGAAATACTCCTTCAAGGGAAATGCTTCATCTGCCACAATACAATAAGGAGCCAGCTGGTCAGAACCAGGAAGTGGTGCAGGGGCAGGGATGTTAGTTCTATTTTCTAGGGCATTCTGCAGTGAGCACCCCCCAAACACTCCACCGTCAGAAATCCGTCCATTGCACCCAGCATCTACATACAGGAACCTGTAACTGCTGTCAACCAGTGCCATTAGAACTATTGAAAATGAATGCTTGTAATTGTAGAATGTTGATCCAGATGCAGGAGGGGGGCAAATGTCGATGTGTTTTCCATCCAGAGCACCCAGGCAGTTTGGGAAGTTCCACTGAGTCTCAAATCCATGTGCTACTTGCTGCCACTGTTCCACTGTGTCAGGGCACTGAAATACCAAAAAATTACATCTAAGAACACATGTTGGCTTCTTTCATGTCAGCTACAGGATTCATAAAATGAAAATATCTTTAAAAAAAAATTACATGGATATATAAACAGAAATAACACGCATACCTTGAGGTATTTATCTTTTAAAACCTGATAGATTGCAGAACAGGTTTCAGGAATGAATTGTCGAATGGTTGATACCCCCACTCGGAACTGGTTAGGCTCCTGAAGCTTTCCCCTGTAAATAATAGAAAGCACATAACACAGTTATCTATACTGAATGGTTTCAACACATTTTCCAGTGTCAATCAAGCACTTTTTGTAGGCATTTTCTAAAGGCATTATCAAAAACCTTACAGCTAAGGTAAGTTATATATCTATAAAACAGGCTGATTACACTTCTTCGTTGCATTAAATTGTTACTGTATTATAAACAATTAAAAATATGTCTGTTTGTTAGTAGATTTGCCACAATATAGAACTAGAATTTCAAGCTAGCTCAAGCACATTATTCAAAATGAAAGTACATCTACCTTAAACTTAAAATGCGTAGTATATAAAAAAAGAAAAGGTGTAATATTGCTTTTAGCTTGCATACCTGTTGCCAAGAACCGCAGTGTAATCATGAGGCGTTCACCGACGGAGATACAATCACGGTAGTTTGTGTTTTGCCTTTGGATGATCGGACTGATGAGTTCCTTCAACATGTGGAACTGAACAGGAAAAATACGAGCGAAAATGTTAAAATCGGAGGTTTCAGCTATCTCTAGTAGAGGTCTACACGGGTCCAAAAATTCGTAAACCCGTAAGACCCGTAAATGTGCTACACTGAACCGACCCAGCCCCGTCTATTATTTTGAAAGTTGGACCCGGGCCCGTGCAGAACCGAGAAATGTCAAAAATGTACTACCCGGAATCGACGCGGACCGTCAATTAGGCTATTTGAAAGATGGACCCGAACCCGGCCGGGAAGACACAGACCCGACTGGACCCGATCGGCACATATTCCACAGCAAATTGCTATTAACAAGTCGATAAACAAGTTGCAAAAATTACACTTTTTGTCTTATCTAATGTAAGAAGCCTTCTCCTTGTACCTGACTGTGATGCACACAATCCTCCTTGCCAAGAAAGTTCCATCTGTGCTATTCCTCTCTTGCCAATTGAAATGCGTAATCCACTCATTATTCCAGTTTCAAAAGTTCACTTGCTGTCACGGCGACGGATGACAAATGCGACTTTGCAGTTTTGCATTTTTTGTATCTCGAGTCAACTTGCATAATAATGTAGACCGTTTGCCCACTTGGATTATAATAACGATTGCTCATCCAGTGCCATAGCTGCTGATGTTAGCTTTACTTATTTGCTATCATCTCTGAGCCGAGTCTGAGCAACAATTTTAGATATAACAACAAGACGGTTCATTCATAATATTATTTAAAAAATAATCAATAATAACTCACATCACTCATGAAGGTATCCATGATCACCGCGCGTGTGCATTAACTCCGCCCACCCTGCTTCTGATGACGTCGCTCGTGGTTTTTTCCACCTTATTTAAAATTACCGACTCACACCTTTTCTCATCCTAATTTTACAAGTTGAAAGTTACAAAACAACACACGCACAGCGCTGACTGACTCTGATAACGGCCGGGTGTTCTCCGAGTCCGATCGACTCGGGTATTACACACAATGTTAAACAGACCCGGGACCCGAAGTAATAGATTGGGACCCGACCCGGACCCGGACCCGGCTGACCATTTCAAATATAGCCCCGAACCCGTACGGATCCAGGGTCCTCGGGTCCTCCGTGTAGACCTCTAATCTCTAGCTCTCGACAAAGGTTCGGGAAAGCCCCTTGAGCTTGTCGCTGTAGTATCCAAGATTTCACCCATTTACTGCGGTTTCTCCGAATTTTACGCCTCCTATTCCTCTTTTCTTCTTCTACAATAGCAAGACTAAGTGCTGACAATTCCAGTGCCATTTTCAGATTATCAGACATATTTGCACAAGCGAATCCCTTTGTGGTGAGCGAAAAATTACTGCGAAAACGATACGCAAACGCTTCTTCGTTTACGGTTTGTAAGTGTACAGTACTTCTTCTTCTTCTTGTACGATTTTATGGCGGTTGACAAGCCAACTTATGGTGTATTACCGCCACCAACTGGACTGGAGTGTGAAGCATTAACGGGAAAGATCACTTCCGGTACTACCGTCACTTCCTTCCATCAATGCTCCAGTCACAGTCCAGTGTTGCGGTCAAGTGTACAGTACTAGTTCCGGTTTCCCTTTTTGGAACGACAATACAAACTACTGCCACCTACAGGTATGGAAAGGTATATCCTCTCACGCAGGCGCAGAATGCACGCTCTAGTTTGCAGTCGGCTGTCGTCTGTTTGGTGTGTTCAAGCCGAGCGGCAACCTCCCGCTCTCTCTCGTGAAGCCAACAAGGAAGTGACTTAAACTGTAATTCATCAACTGACCGCTAGAGGCTGGCTGCAAAGGGGAGTCAATCCCATAGACTCCCCATGTTAAAATGCCCAACTTTACAGCAGAAAAAAACATGTTTACAGCCTG